GGAGTTCCCCTTGCAACATGAACGCAGTGGCGGCACCCCTGATCCTGTAACAGCATTCAACCCTGGGCTGCGGGACGGTCTTCTGCCAAGTCGCTGTTAGCTCGGTCAAATAGAGGGTGAGCAGAGGGTCCAGGGCATGAAATAGCGTGTCGAGTACGGCCGAGAGTAAGCCCATTGGGACTTCCAGCCCCGTAATAATTTTCACTGTCGCCGCGCTGAATGTGGGCCACGTTGACTTCCATGTTGGCAAGACACCGACGCTATAGCCAGAGAGTGGTAATGTGCGTGTTGTGCTGCAGAAAAATCATAGGGGAATCGACGTATATATATATACATATATATATGTATGTATGTATGCATGCATGCAAAGCATTCTGCATGCGTTCGGTTGGGTACCGATTTGAGCACGGCCCGCGAGTCGCCAATCGTCACAAGTTGGCCATTATGCGTTTCTCGCATGGTCGGTGCAGAAACACAAGACGCGAAAGATGTGAAGGATGTGTCTCCACGGTGTCAGAGTAAAATCAACTGGGTCTCGTGACTACAATTCCCGCCCACGATGTCATGCTGCCGCAACTCTGCCATTAGTGACAAGCCTATGCCTTATGCCCACACCGTTCACTGCCATCATGCCATCGTGCCATGGCGGCCATTGTCTAGGTATCCTTGGTGGTGAAGTCGGCCATGGTACTCCGTAGAGATGTGCGTGCAGGCTTTGGGCAGCATGAAACCCGGTTGGACTTTAATTTCGTCTCGAGGTATGTATTTGTATTTTGCGCAGCACAGCACAGCACAGCTTCGGGCGCATGTCACAGGTATGCAACTTTGCGTCGCATGGAAGAAGCAGTCGTTGCTATGCTGATGGTGGGCCAACAAAAACACCGGCGCAACTGGAGCGGGCGAATAGTATAATAAAACGCTGTGTGCATACAAATTCCTGCGTCGTGGAGCTGCTCACAGTCGAATGATCATGACACGCGCGACTGCGTCCTCCGTTGTCGCGGCTCAATTCTGTTTCGAGTTTAAGCCGAGTGGCATTCCGCAGCCCGTGCAATTTTCACACCCTCCACTCGACACGGAACTGGTCTCCAAACTTACTTTCCCATGGGGATATTGTGGACGGCTTTGGAAAATGCTGGGGCATCAACTCTCCTGTCCACTGACTTGGTGTTCCGGATGCTTGGAGAGGGAGGGTCCAACGGGGTAGCAGCTGAGCAGCAGGCACAGCCAGGCCCCAGGGCCATGCAGAAACGAAGCAGCCAGGCCATTGCCGGCCATCTCCAACGTTTCCATGACTTTTCCATTGGCCCCTTGGCACAAAACAGGCCAACGGCCGGCCCTTCTCGGCGCTTCTTTGCCAGCCGATGTGGGCCGCTGCCTCCATCTGCCACCATCATCGGCCTTACCTCGTTGCCCAGGCCGGTCTGGCCCCGCAAATCTCCACGCGGGTTCCCCGGACACGCGCCTCTTGCTTCATGTCTCGACCCCGGAGCTCACAGTCCATCACAAGCGCCTGAGTCGGACTGGAGACTAGCTCAGCCATGCCGGTTCGCAGTTTTTTTCCCCCTCTGGCGAATGGCTTCCCGTGTCTTGCTCCTGCTAGCCCTTCGCCCATAATGTATCGGATGTGACTGAACGCCACACCTGCAAGCGTTGCTGGCCGTCCGTCTCATTTTCATAATTGCGCCCCATAGCAACTGTGGGGGACGCTCACGCGCGCAGATGGCATTGTCGACGATTGATGACGGACGGGATGCAACATTGACATCCTTGCCAGTGTTTGATCGAATGCTCCGCTGGCTCGTGGGATAAAAAGTCGTCCTCACCCCCTTCGTAGCTTGGGATGAGCTTTTCGTCTTGCTCCTCGTGCAGTCCCTCCATTGTCTGACGAGCTGTCTCCTTTATTGCCCCACACCTTGTCTTGCCTTTTGGATTTTTCGATATCCAAGACACTTCGACTGTTCAAACTTCAAGGAAGCAATCACCGGATACCGACTCACTGTCGAGAAGAGCAACAATGTCCGGCAATCTCGAGAAGTCGGGGGAGGAGCGAAAGGCCTCCGTCGTCCTTCATACAGCTCCTGATGTTGAGCACATAGAGGCTCCCGTCACTTGGAAGGCCTACCTTCTTTGCGCCTTCGCCTCATTTGGTGGTATCTTCTTCGGTTACGATTCCGGTTACATCAATGGCGTCTTGGGCTCCAAGATCTTCATCCACGCTGTCGAGGGTCCTACTGTTGATAAGATCTCCGAATCTCACACCTCCCTGATTGTGTCCATCTTGTCTTGCGGAACCTTCTTCGGTGCCCTGATTGCTGGTGATTTGGCCGACTGGATCGGCAGAAAATGGACCGTCATCCTTGGCTGCATCATCTATGGCCTCGGTGTTGTTGTTCAGATGATCACCAGTCCTGATCATGCTCTTGGCCCTATCGTCGCTGGCCGTGTCATTGCTGGTCTTGGTGTTGGTTTCGAGTCTGCCATTGTCATTTTGTACATGTCTGAGATTGTAAGTAAACGAGCAATGCGGGTTGGGCGATTTGCCTACCTCGCGCAGTCGTTATGAGCAATGCTAACCCCAGGTTCCTTCACAGTGCCCTCGCAAAGTTCGTGGTGCTCTCGTAGCTGGTTACCAGTTCTGCATCACCATCGGTATCATGTTGGCCTCGATCGTGGTTTATGCCACCCAGAACTACGACAACACTGGTGCCTATCGTGTGCCGATTTCCATTCAGTTCCCCTGGGCTCTGATTCTGGGTATTGGTCTTCTTTTCCTCCCCGACTCTCCTCGTTACTACGTCAAGAAGGGCCAGATCCAGAAGGCTATCAACTCTTTGTCCCGCGTCCGTGGCCAGCCCGAGGACTCCGTATATGTCCAGACTGAGGTTGCTGAGATTATTGCCAACGAAGAGTACGAGCGTGCTCTCATTCCCTCCACCACCTGGTTCGGATCTTGGGCCAACTGCTTCAAGGGTAGCCTCTGGAGTGCCAAGTCCAACTTGCGTCGAACTGTCCTGGGAACATCCCTGCAGATGATGCAGCAGTGGACTGGTGTCAACTTCATCTTCTACTACTCAACCCCGTTCCTTCAGTCCACAGGTGCCATCGACAACACTTTCCTGATCTCACTCATCTTCACTCTGGTCAATGTGTGCTCAACTCCTCTGTCTTTCTGGACTGTTGAGAGATTCGGTCGTCGCACCATCCTCATTGTTGGCGCTTTCGGAATGCTCATCTGCCAGTTCCTCGTTGCCATCATTGGTGTTACTGTCGGTTTCAACCACACCCATCCTGATCCTTCGGACCCCACCAAGAGCCTTGCGGATAACATTGCTGCCGTCAACGCCCAGATTGCTTTCATTGCCATCTTCATCTTCTGGTTCGCCTCCACTTGGGGTCCCGGTGCCTGGATCGTCATCGGCGAGATCTTCCCCCTTCCTATCCGATCTCGTGGTGTCGGTCTCTCCACTGCCTCCAACTGGCTGTGGAACACCATCATTGCCGTCATCACCCCATACATGGTGGGCGAGGATCGTGGCAACTTGAAGTCATCCGTCTTCTTCATCTGGGGCGGTCTTTGCACTTGCGCCTTTGTCTATGCCTACTTCCTGATCCCCGAGACCAAGGGTCTCTCCCTTGAGCAGGTCGACAAGATGATGGAAGAGACTACCCCACGGAACTCCGCGAAGTGGAAGCCCACTAGCACCTTCGCTAGCACCCTCGGAGCTGGCGACTATATCGAGAAGCCTGCTGCGGAGCATGTATAGAGCTCATATAATTGTCATTAAATATGCATTTTAGTTGTTCTTGAGAGGATAGAGGACAGAGAGTGAAATATCGAGAGGAATATGAGCTCCCGAATCAAGGAGAGCAGAGGTAATATACGTCCTTGTTGTAGATCGTACCATACATATCCATCTATCAACATACAGTGTACTGTGGAATTCGGTTCCTTGAATGAGTGGTGCAAATGAATGGGCATGTGAAACTGTGTCCTTGTGAAACGTTTGGTTATCCTGGACGCCGGCAATGGTCTTTCTCCTGGGACGTAAATAAAGTTGTAGCGTCGTCACTCGTCAGCCATCGGAGATCTAATAATGAATGCGAGCAACGTTGACAAGGCCAATCAAGTGGGCATGCAAAAAGGCGCAGCTGCGGTTGTTCATGAATCAACGGGCAGATACATAATGATGCTCCAGATGTCCTCTCTTGACATTTCAGGGTTCCCAGCAAACACTTGACAACGTGCAGCTGTTGGCACCTGCTGTCTGCCATCTACAATGGGCCGGTGCAACTTAAGTGTTGGTTGATTGGCGCCCACACGATTGATTGCCTTACTAAGCATAGCGAGCCAAAAGTACGTGCGGAATTCATGAGCCACCTGGGTGCTCAGACACTTCACTGTCTCAGGGAAGTTATGAAATAGTACATATGTTGTTCTCTCATGCGTTTTGTCAAGAAGCAAGCAGGTAGCAACGTGCTCGAGACGATGATTTGGGTAGGTTCTGGTTAGCAAGGTCGCCGGCCACGGTGACGCTGACATCCAACGCTGCTTAAGTAAGCCTGGATGCATGCCAGAAGCCCGACCGACACGGATAAATCAATGACGCCAGGTGCTGGCAGCACGGGCGATGACAAGCCGACTGGTCCGCCATTTAAAAATTTCACCTGCCGCCACCCGCTTGCGACATTGACCTTGGGGGGGACCCTGGCCCCGCCGGCCGCCCAAGGTTCCGCGATGCTCCTACCAACACTTATTATGTGCAGGTACCAAAGTACTTAACAGCTTCAGTTTCTTCATCTCCAGTCCGAATCTGCGGGCTTTTCTTCTCTGTGGTACAAACACGACTCCACTGCCTTGACCTCTTCCTCCGGTCAGCGCGCACCACAGGTGCCTTGGTTGTTTTTTTCTTCCAACTTTGCATGGGCTCTCTCTTTGAAGCATGACATAGGCGTATTCATATTCGGCATCATCACCAGCACCAAACTCGGCCACCAAGATGGCGCAGCATCCAAGGCCGCTCTCGCAGGTTCTGCCTCCCCTCATCTTGGGTACGGCTACTTTCAATTACCAATACAACGACGACCCTTCGCAAATGCCCTACACCGACATCGTTCGAAGGGCACTTCAGCACAACATCACCGCCTTTGATACCTCGCCGTATTATGGCCCCTCGGAAGTTCTGCTCGGCGATGCGCTCCGAACATTAACACCGCCGCCAGACCGGGGTGGGTATTTTCTCATTACAAAGGCTGGCCGAATTGCGAACAACGAATTCGATTATTCGCCGCCATGGATTCGGTACAGTGTTTGTCGCAGCCTTGAGCGCCTGAATACACCCTACCTGGACCTTGTTTATACCCACGATGTGGAATTCGTATCTCCGACCGAGGTCTTGGAGGCTGTCAAGGAGCTGCGAAGATTGCGAGACCAAGGTTTGGTCCGTTACGTGGGAATTAGCGGATATCCTGTGGAAATTTTGGTGTCGCTAGCCGAGATGGTTTTGGAACAGACTGGGGAGCCCCTGGATGCTGTCATGTCTTACGCCAATTACTGCATCCAAAATACCCAGCTTGGACGGCCCGATATTCTTGACCGATTCAAGAAGGCCGGCGTTGACTGTATACCTAATGCCAGCATGCTAGGAATGGGTTTGATAACGACCAGAGGAGCTGACAGTAGCCCTATGGCCTCGTGGCACCCTGCGCCGCCCCGGCTACGAGATGCTTGCCACAGCTTGGCTACGGTTGCAGCCAGGTCAGGAGAGCATCTCGAAGAGATTGCCATTCGTTGGGCTCTGGAAAATTGGGCTCACGTTGGCAGCCAATTCGGCTCGGTTGCATACCCGCCAGAGCTTTTATCAGAGGCAAGGGTGGACGAAAGTGGCTCGCCTGCTCGAATCGGTGTCAGTGTAATGGGCGTTTCCAACGTGGAAGAACTGGAGGAGACGTGGGCCCTGTGGAAGAGTGTTGTTGGCCTTGCGAGCCGAGCGGATGAAGACTCGGCGGAGAGGAGGGACAGGATCAACCGTATTGTCACGCAACAGATGTGGCCAAGGTTGGGGCCGTGGAAGGACTACTCGTGGCAGAGTGGCGGAGAGGCCTTTACCAACATGAGACAGGCAAAAGGTGTTGTTCCCATCGACGCAGTCGCGCAGCGGTGGGGTTTGATACCCAAGAAGTTTCTAGAGAACGCCAAGATTTAGCAGCATGCAATACGCATTTCTGGCTCACGGAAGATGGATAGTCTTTTGTGCTTGAACCAGAGGCCAGCCCATTTTTTGCAACTACAAACTTTCCAGCCAGCACATGCGGGCGACTCTGCAAGAGCAATGACAACCTGTGGCGAGACCATGGCAGGTTTACCATGTGATCCTTAAGCCGCATCTCCCGGAAAAGACTTGGCTGCTTCTTTTGGCCATACACGTCCTGATGACACTATGTTCCAGGATTATGGTCTTTTGATGACCCTGGTACATGTTCCTAGGGTATAAGCACCAGTCGAGGCAATCGGATTTCTTGATAATTCCATCGCAGCACGTTAGCGCAGCACGTTAGCGCAACACCTCAGCCCTGAGCCGCATCGTATCCCGCGTTTAATTTTCCCTGCAAGCCCCACATGCCTAATTCAAGATTTCTGGTGTACATACATTAAGTACAGTGTATGCGGAGTACGTAGTGCAGATTGATCATCATGGCGGCGTCGATCCGGCCCGGAAGAAAACGTGAGTGGCAAGTTCACCTTTCTAGGCGGGAGATTGGCACGCGCCGTTTAGCGTTTTGGGTGTGTGGTCCATTCGTATTTCGGCTTCAAGAGTTGGACGCTTCGAGGCACAATTACATCAACGCTTGTCGTAGACGCTGCGTAACCCAAGGCCAGGAACCTCTGAAATCATGTATAAATAGGGCTCGGAACGCTGCAGTAACGCAAATTGAATAAACAAGTATGAATCCTCAAGAGCCATCTAGGGATAAAAATATATACAATGCATATCTGCGCTCGATTGTGCGTTTTGCTTCTATCCCTAGCTGGACCGACTTCAGCAGCCCTCAACTGCCGGCCAGAAGGGCCAGTTCTTCCCAAACCGAAGCTCAGCGGCTCGCCGATCTTCAAGTCAGCAGGGGAGAACCTCACAAAGACTCTGGATGATGCCGTAAAGGGCGTCATCAAAGCAGGATGGCCTGTGGAAAACGTGTCGTTTTCCCTGGCTGTTGTGTCCACGGACCAGGAGAGTGCAGGCGTCCCTATCTGGGAGTATCACCATCGGGCAGAGAGGAACGACCGAGGTGTCAAAAATATCACTCGTGATTCGCAGTACCTGATTGGCTCTGTGAGCAAGGTCATCTCGGACTATATCCTTCTCAAGTCTGGGGTCGACATTGATCGTCCGGTTACCGACTTTCTTCCAAAGCTGAATAGCTCCAGGTCCAAGGTTCGTTGGAAAGACATCACGCTGCGCATGCTTGGGTCCCAGTTAAGCGGGGCGCCTACAAATAGTCAGTATTCTCTCGGTGAAGTGATATTGCAGGAACTAATTACCGTGGCTATGCTGACCAGTCGCAGACGGATTCTCCGAGTACTACTATCTGAAAGAACTCTTCGTCCAATCTGGATTCCCGTCAATTAAGGACTCAGATTACCCACCATGCGGCGTCATAGGCTTCAACAAAGGCTGTTCTGCAAATGGTGTGCTCCTTCAAAGGCGCGGCGTATTCTCAGGCTAACTCGTGATTGCAGAGATTCTCGAGGGCATGATAAGCCAATACCCGGTCACGGCGCCCATGGAGCGCCCAGCTTACTCAAATATTGCATTTGTAGTGTTTGCCATGGCACTTCAAGAAGCTACTGGGAAGAACTACACCGAGTTGGTGGCGGATATTGTGTCCAAGCCGCTCGACTTGCGGAGCACTCTTCCATCCCCCGGAGACGATGGCAAGGCTGTGATCCCCCCCGGAGAAAGCTCTTGGGGTGCAGATTACGGATACAATGCCCCGTGAGTGACAATTCGAGAAGTCAACCGTGGTTCCGAGATCTCGACACTGATCATGTGCCAAATACAGTGGTGGCGGCTTGGTATCAAGCGTATCCGATCTCTGCAAGTTCACTCACGCCCTCCTTACACGGTCGCTCGATCTAACACCAACACAAATAAGGAAATGGCTGAAGCCGGAGGACTGGACTGGCGCCTACAGTGCAGTCGGGATGCCCTGGGAATTCTTCCGACCTCTCACCCTTACGCCTTCGCACCCGCACCCGGTCACCGTGGCTGGCAAGGGCGGCGGCGCGCAGCTTTACAGCAGCCAGCTGAACGTGGTAGATGAATACGGAATGGGTCTCGTCATGCTCTCTGCGGGAAACCCAGGGGCTTCTATCGCCCTCTCCGACGCTCTTCTTGCGACCTTTGTCCCGGCGGCAGACGAGGTCTCCAGGGACCAGGCTGAGAAGCAGTATGCCCGCACTTTCAAGTCTGAGCGTACAAACACGCAAAACAAGTTGATCGAAGCGACCTTCAAGTTGGACAATGATTCCCTCGTCATCTCTGAAATTCGGGATGGCGGCAACGACGTCTTTGGTGGTATCAAGAAGATTTGGGGCCTGACCATGGGCCAGTATACGGCGACTTTTGGTTCTACAATGAGGCTTTTCCCCACGGACCTGTATCAAACGACCCAGATGGAAGGAAGGAATGTCACTGCAGAGGTTTGGCGTCTGTGGCCGGAGTTTGGCGAGCCCCTCGAGTCTGACATGCCTGGTTCGAATTTGGGCTTCGAGAACTGTTTGCAGTGGGCTCTTGGGGATTGGATCCATTATGGAAAAGAGCCTCTTGACAGAGTCGTCTTCTACAAGGACGCTAGTCAGGATGTTGTTGGCTTTGAGATGCCTTTCCTTCGATCTGGAATCTTGAAACCCATGTAAATCGACGTGGTGAGCAAGGGGCCTGAGGCGCCTGAGAGGGTGTGGGCCAGAGAATGTTGGGATCGAATGGCATTGCAAGATATTCTTTTGTAATGTAATATCGAAGATGTCTTTTGCAGCGCTTTTATTAGTTTGCTCGCATGATTTTGTGGGATGTGTCGTAATTGATTGATTGTGTCTGGCAAGTTCAATTAGATGCTGGTTACTTTAACATTTCAACATTGACATTGACTGTCCTTGTCGGTGCCTGTGGCCCCACCAGCGGTTTGACAGGTACTAGGTACCTACTTAAGTAGTACTTGGGACCCAAAGCATTGGCCACTGAATATTGAAATTAGAACCAACTACGCCTCCCGCGCCTCAAGCTCCAACCTCAGAGTTCGCAATTATCACCGCACACAACGGCTAGAGCTACGGATTGGCATGAGGGCTCCATGGCAGGAGGACGAAAAGCCAAGCCTGCACCGCCTGCGCGGCCTACGAACACGCTCATTGTAGACAACGGCGCATACACATTAAAGGCTGGCATTGTGGCCAACGGGCACGTCGGCGAGCCTCGAATCATCCCCAACTGCGTCGTACGCGATCGATCGAGGAAAGTCTTTCTCGGATCTGACATTGCTAAATGTCGCGACTTTGGCGAACTGCAATTCCGACGGCCGGTCGAGAAAGGGTCCATTGTCAATTGGGAAGCCCAAAAGGAAATATGGGATCAAGAGCTATTCGACAACGCTGCAACCAAGTGCGATCCCACCGAGGCGCGTCTGATTCTTTCAGAACCCCCAAACGGGCTGCCGGCCCTGCAGACGAATTGCGATCAAGTCGTCTTTGAGGAGTACGGGTTTGCCAGCTACTACCGAGGTATTGGTAAGTGGCGTGGCGCTCAAACAAAAGCTGGTACATACATTGCTCGGTTTCTAATGATGGGGCCATAGGCTCGACTTTCAATGCCTACCACGATATTCAAAGCCTTTTTCGGACGCCAAAAGATGCCCCCACGGCGGCAAACGTCCCCGCAGAAGTCATGTTGGTGGTCGATTCCGGCTACTCCCACACGACCATCACACCCTTGCTTCGTGGGCAGCCACTGCACTCGGCGGTCCGACGACTCGACGTCGGCGGCAATCTCCTCACGAATTATCTGGCCCGTCTTCTGTCCCTTCGACACTTCGACATGCGCAACGAAACATACATTGTCAACGAAATGAAGGAGTCGGCGTGCTACGTGACACTGGACTTCAAGTCGGACCTCGAGAAGACGTGGAAGGGCACGAGGGGCGAGAAACGACCGTCTTATATATCCGGAGACGGCATCGTCAAGGACTACGTCTTGCCGGATTTTCACTCAAACACAAAGGGGTCTTTGCGCGAGTACGACCCCACGAGGCACACCAAGGCGCGAAAACTAGCTGCGGCCGGTCAGACGGACGAAGATGTTTTGACGTTGCGAAACGAGCGGTTCGCCGTCCCAGAGCTCATATTCAACCCGTTGGATATGGGCATGCGGCAACCAGGGCTACCCGACTTGATTCAACAATCTCTGCAACAGCTTCCAATGGGGTTGTGGCCTGGCTTGCTGGCTAATATTGTTGTTGTGGGAGGCAACACTTTGTTTGATGGCTTCATCCAGCGTCTCCAGAAGGAGGTCGTGCAGCGAGTACCGGATGACTGTGTCGTGCGCGTTGCCAGACCTGTCGACCCCGTCACTAGCACGTGGTTTGGGGCCGCCAATCTGGCTAGTCACCCGAACATCGAGAAGCTTGTAGTCACGAAGAAGGAATACGAGGAGCTGGGCTCGGCTTTGGTCGCGCGTAAATTTGCCGCTGGCCTCAACTTGACCTGAGAACCGACCAAGATGGCGCCGAATCATTTTGCTGGTGTTGATATATGGCGGCATGCGTTTCTATCAACCGGCAAAGGAAGTTGACATGTTCTGGATCCGGTATCATGCTGGCGGGCAAACCGGACCGGCATACGTTGAGTGTAGCCCGAAGTCAAGATTCGGCTACGTGATCTTGGCGTGTCGCGCCCAGCTGGTTCCAACCTCATGGATGCTACGTCACAAAGAACAGGAGTACTACCCTATTAGCAGAGCAATGACTCGCACAATGGTACGAACTTATTAATATGAAAAGTAGCTTGGCTCAAAACAAGTTTTATTTTGCAAATTTTCTGCACTAGAGTCGAGTATGCGAGTCGCTATCTGATGGGGGAGCTTTTTGTCTCAAAATAATACTGATCATGTCGGTCATAACATTCACACATTACGTGTGTTGGTGGCTTCTCCACGTCTAGAATTCTCCAGACGAAGCCGGCGCGGAATTGTTTATTCCGTGTATTTTTGCTGCCAGCGGCCGTGTCCCTCGTTTACTCAGAGGAGCGGCCTGGTCAGCGCGTCTCGAATCCTACGTCGCGCAAGACTGAGCGGGATGCCATTCGAGGCAAGCTGCATGCGGGCGCCTGACTTTGAGTCCCTGAAGAGACGTATTAGCGGCGGAATTCTGCTACTGGTTGTGGAAGGCCAAGGGCATGCCAAAGACTTACTGTCGTCCCAGACCACGGCCACGCGAGATGCACCAATCGCACTAATGGCAGGTGTTAGTAGATGGCTAGTATATGATGATGAGAACACGTACATATTCGGAAGACGAGCCTTCATTGTGAACAATGCAATAGCCCGCGGAGCACTTTTTGCAACTCCTTTGCGTCTGGCTGATGCATTCCTCGCACTATCAGGAGTTGGAGTTAGTGATGTCGGCTGAATAGAAATGTGCATTGTTACGGCTTACATTATTGCCGCATTCCCAGCAACTCTTGGAGACGAGATTCTATAGACTCCGTTAGCAGAACGTCCCAAGACAAACGGAACTCTTCAAAACATGACAAGATGAAAAAAAGATACATGGTCGCCAGGTGTACATGAAGATGACATGGGTGCTGCATACAAATCTGCAAAACACCACCAGGCAGGCCTCAAGTCACCAGACTAAAAACGACACCGTCTCCTCATGGCGGGGATAAGAGCGTCTCATCCTGGGCAGCCAGTCTCGCTGCCGAACATTGGAAACATGTACCGTGTCGTACCTTGATCTTGGGTGTGCTGTCCTGCAAATCCAGGATCTGAGCAAAGCTCGCCACACTATCGTCCTCATCTACCACGATGAAGCTGTTCACGCCCGCGTCCTGCCCCTGGCCGGGAAGCGGGAAGCACGATTCGCACCACCACTTATCGCAGCACGTGCAGTACCGCTCGCGGAGGCAGTCGAGGCACCGCGGGACGAAGCTCTGGCCGGGCTGCGAGGGACACGTTGCGGCCCGGATCGACGATGTCATGATGGGAACGGGGGCGAGAAGAGGCAGGCATTGCGGCGGGCAGCGCTCCTCCGACACCAAGCCCTCTGGCGCTTTGCCGCAGCCGCCGCAGCCGCCGACGGCGTGCGTGGCCACGGCCGGCGCGTTGTCTGCCATCATCAGGGGGCGCCCGAAGGCGGGTGAGTTTCGGTGCCGGGGCCCCTTGCAGAGGACGGCGTCAAAGGCAATGATGCCTTCGCATGCGGCCATGCAGTTGACCCATTCCTGCGAGATGGGCCGCGTGATTACTCGGCCGCGCTTGCACCACCAGCTGTCGCCTTGTCGCTCGAGAGAGGACGCGAGGGCCTGGTGACTCTTGTGGTTCCACCCGGAGCTGATGGAGGCTTGAGATTCCCGATCCTGCGGAGCCGGTTCCGTCTCTGGATGCGCCTCCTTGGAGCCGAATACGTACAGTGCCTTGAGCCGTGGAGAGTTCTCGGGTCGCGTCGGCCGACAGGCATACTGCAGGGCACCTCGGAGCTTGGCCTGGTTCAAGTTTTTGACATCTCGAATGCTCAGGATGCGCACACTATAGGAAGTGTCGTTGATGAGCTCGTGGCATAGGTCGGACGTGACTGACAGGCCATCGAGCATCAAGGTCTGGACATGCTTCCAGATGTCTTGCCGTTGGATGGCGTTGAACACGCCTCTCAACGGACCAGAATAGAAACTTGATGCCGTCAGCGACTCATTCTACATGGTGTACAGACCAAGTCAAGAGAACAAAGGACCGAACTGCTGTGAGAAAGAAGAAAAAAACTCACTCATCTTCACTCAGATTTTCATCCAGTTGGACATTGCGCCACACTTCACCACCGTTGTCGATGGGGTTGATGTCGAACTGGGCCTTTTTGACCTGTGTGAGGTCGAGGTGCCGAAATACGCCGGGGGTGTTGCGGATAAGAGATCGGAATTCTTTATTGGCAGCGGAAAGTTGGAGGAGGCTGTATACGGGCAGGTAGGGCGCAATAGTACGGAGGATTAGAGAGTTATGGAGGACATCGAACAGAGATAGTGTATTTATCTCGAGCTCTTCACGCGTTTGACCGTTGACGGTAGCTTGGCTCATGTCAGGCTGCCAGAACAAGGGGAATCAAGAGCCAAGGGTATTTTGAATATGAAGGGGGTGGACAAGAGAATTGAGGTTATGGGTGAAGCAAGGTGAGATGGCCCAACAGGCGTGTAACCGCTAGACAGGAACAAATAGGCTACTCTGGTGTTACCGACTCCTATCAGAACAGAGTAACCAGACTCTCACTCGATGATACGTGTTGGAGTTTTTTTCGAGATGCTCGGGATATGCCAACAAGGCGAGTACGTTCAAGCCGAAGTAAAGGGGGGCCGAGAGTAGTAGTAGAAGTACGCCGTACAATATAAATAGGAAGAAACGGCGTGCGTATCCAAACCCAGCCGGGGTGGAGCAGAAGTGATGAGTGTTTCGGTCCGTGTGGAACAGAAATAGAGATGCCGCCTAAGGTTATCTATAGGGTGTCATGCCACGAGCGGTCATGTAACCCTGGGACTGCCCTTTGGACTACGGAGGAGGTGGGTGAAAGACAGGGTGAGTGAGACGGGTTCCAAATTTTAGCATTCCCGCCGCTCAAACGCGGCCAGGTGAGGAAGATATCTCATTCACCAGTGAAACAGAGGCCGGGGTGTGGATTGGCGGCGACCAGCGACCACCGAGCGAGCTTTTCTTGTCGAAGGCGTCTGTGTGTCGTGGGACAACAAGGATAGTACGGAGCAGAGAGACGTGTGTCGGGATTTGCGGACTGGGAAGGTATCAAATTGCGAGCCGTCGGCGGGTGGCACGGGCTTTAAATAGTAGATGGCGAGTTGACCAGGGACAACCCGGTCGGTCGGCCGGGAATACAAATGGAGAAGAGATGCAGATTCGACAAAGTTGAGAAGTTCAAAGCGACATCAACCATGGACCGTGGCCGTGTGTGGTTGTGGTGAGGAGGCAGAAGACGCATGGGCACGGCACGGAGAAGAAGGGATGGGATGACTGGAGCTGCTTTTCCATGCCCATACCCATACCCATACAGGCCTGTTACCTGGGCTCTATCTTGGGAATCTCGGTGAGGGTACATGGACGGAGCAGCGTGGTGGGCATGAAACAAGAGCGAGCGGCTCTTTGGTGCATCTGCCGAGTACAAAATACAAAATACGCAGCACTTTACGGAGTGGGAGTGGCGACGTGGGCGCCTCAGGAAGCAAACACCATTTGCAGTTAGCTTCTCGGCAGGTGAGTGACCAGACCGCGATGGTGCCATTTCAGATCAGGCCAAACGGACAAGTACCCGGGCAACGTGCCATGGTTTGGCTTATCGGACCATGAGACCATGCGGGCACTGATTCTTTCATCGGCATTGGTTGCCTACTCTCTGGGGAGACTAAAACACAAGTGCGTTGAGGCAAAGCGTCTGTCTGTCTTGTCTGTATGTCTGGGTGAGGTGAGTTGAGGTGAGCCAGGCGACGCGAGGGTGAGGACAGGACATCGCATATCTATTACTCGGTGCTGTCACAGCGAATAAGAGCCAAAGACGTAATGCCTTTATGTACTCCATACTCCGTACACCTTCAACGATTTGATGATTCGATCATGTTGATGCGAGTCGGCCGATTGCACCGGATGGCCCTGGCACCGAGCAAATGACATTTCGGCGCCTCAGGCTTCAATGTTCCAGGTCCATGGATGTTATCAATTAACCCTTGCGCCTGCATCTATGCCAGAAGCCACACGCGCTGCCTCGCTTTTTCGCCTTTGTTACAAAGAGAAACGACAAAGAGCAACAGACACCGTCTGGAGCCTCCAAGCTACCATTGCTTTGTGCACTGGTTGCCACAAGACGCCATCTCCCAACACTTTCTGTCCTTCTCCACCGGATGCCCAATCTCATCAGAAAGCTGCCGTCGAGCCATCAGAGTTGCCTTGGGCCGCAGCAATGTGCAATGTCTCTACGGATCAAAAGCATCTCCCCCGGATTCCCCTTTTCGCCTTCTACTAGTAGCTGGCAAGCGCCCTCGGATGAGATCGACCACCCAGCTGGCTCTCCTAGGCATGCAATCTAGCAAATCCCAGTCGCTCAGGTCGCACTGCGCCCTCCCTCATCACCCGCCAAGTCGAGATGGGCAAGGATGAGGTGCTCATCAATGCCCGTAATCTCGCAGCCAGCTGCAATACACATGTATCCATACGGACATGGACTCCTGCTGGGCTGAGGCCCAAAAAGGGTCTCTGACAGACCCGCTTGGCGACGTCACCCCTAGTGTCTGTGGATCCCTGCCGAGTGACACTCTGGATTGCTTGAAGCTTTTCAACTCGTCGATACAAGAGGGTTTGGAGGTTTGGAGGGCTGAGGCGAAGCTGTGGCCAGTACAGAGTACTCCAAGGAGTACTGTGGCCAAATGTTACTGCTACGTGGCCGCGCCGGATGACCCTTGTCATCAACATGCTCGTGTCTCTCTCTTGATTCATTTGCAAGCTTGAGCAGGTGGGGGGACAAATCGAGTCCGTCTTGTAGTCCGTTCGCGACAGTATGCCATGCGTTTACTGGTTTCCTCCGTCCTCCAGTGGTCGTCATCCCGGAGAAGACTGGACGTACACGAACTAGTTGATTGCACCTAGACAAATAAAATCGCTGCTCAACGACTCAGTCATGCACATCCGCGTCTGCAGCTATCAATTGACGGCCGCGCTAGACCACTCACAAGCTTAGCCGGCGCATGGATGCTCCTAGAGCCTGACACAGCTTTATGCTCTACCAGCCATTGATAATTGACGAAAGGACTTTGGGCGCAAACAAAGTTCTAGAAGAAATGGCCTGCGGTGGAGTTCCGCTGATAAAGCTCGAGTCTGCGAGGACTACCACCACCGTCTTGGGGCATGATGCCAACTTCGCCCTTTCAACAGCCCAAAGAAGACCAGGTACAAATGGAACAAACAAGCTACATTGAAATGTTTCCGCTGTATTCATTGCCTTCTCGTTTGCCATTTCCAACAGTCCCAATGCTATTTATTCCGGCACCAAGTATTCTGTACTTGAAAGTAGAATGCCAGAAGCTGCTAGACAATCCACGTGACCGTGACGCTTCTGTTGGAGATGGAACATGACGGAATCTCGCTGACTGAGCATGGAGTTTCGCCTCATATGTATCTCTGGGCTAGGCAGCGTCTTCATTCATCAAAGCTTTTCATTACCATGCTCCCGTAAACCTTTATCTTCTCCTTCACCGTTTCTGGTTGAGACCCAAAATGTTTTGAGATGGATCTGCTGCAGTCCAACCCGATCCTTCAGCTCATAGTGGATTGGACCGTGTCGCAACCCGAACCCGCGGCCCCCACGTCATAGCCCACGATACTGAAAAGTATTTAGCAACTGGCATTCTTGATACACCCGGGGCTACCATGAACGAGCAACCAGCCTTACGCTGGTCAGGCTCCTTTGGAGTTCTGCCCACTACAGCTGCATCAGTCAAGAATTTGTCCGGAGACAAGATTATTCTCCCGCAGTCTGCGTTGGAACAGCTCTTAAACGCCGCGCCATCGCAGCCGACAACAGCGTCGAGCTTCACAGCATGGGATCCCCACAACCCTTACCGGTCGAACGGCTTCGGTTTTGAACAGCGCCAGCAACTTCCACAACCGCTCACATTTCGGCTCGTGAATAGCCAGAATGGCAATGTTGTATTTGCTGGTATCCGGGAGTTTTCGGCCGAGGAGGGAACCGTGGGGCTGAGTTCGTTTCTGATTGAGGCTCTGGGGATTGAGCCACAGCAGCTGAATGCAACGAATGGAAACCGAACTTCCGATGCCGATGCTATCGACCTTACCGGAGACCATGTCCCTTCGACAACGGCCTCGATCAAACTCACGGTTGATGCGACAAATATACCAAAGGGAACATACGTCAGGTTGAGACCGCTGGAGGCAGGGTATAATCCAGATGATTGGAAGTCACTGCTGGAACGACATCTCCGAGAACATTATACATGTCTGACCAAGAATTCGATTCTCTCCGTCAATGGCGTTAAAGGGGAAACCTTTAAGTTTCTGGTAGACAGGCTTTCGCCAGAAGGAGACGGAATTTGCGTCGTTGATACTGATTTAGAAGTGGATATTGAGGCGCTCAACGAAGAGCAGGCTCGAGAAACGATGCGACAGATCATGACCAAGGCTCAAACTGAGGTAGTCGGTGGTGTGTCAAAAGGCGGGGATCTCGACATATGGAAAGATGTCTCGGGACACGTATCGCCAGGTGGATACGTAGACTACATATTGCCATCTTGGGATCGATCACAGCCTCTGACCATTACTCTCAGTGGTATAGAACAAGAAGATGGTGTGGATCTCTTTGTCACGCCAAAGTCGTCTCGGCAGCGAGTACTACCCAGAGATTCAGCCCATGTTTTTGGCGACTTTTCTCCCGCCGAGGATGGAGTCAAATCCATCACCATGTCACCTACGAACGTGGAAATGGAAGGGGCAGAAGCAATACTAGTCTCTGTCCATGGGTTTTCCTCTGAAAACCAGCGAACGAGCCAGCCAATCCCATTCACTGTCCGAGCCAAGGTCGGATCGCCAACAAGCAAGGCTGGACAGGATCGTATGGAAGTCGACGGGGAGGAGCACTCGTCTGATGAGGAGCAGTGCTCTAATTGCAAGCAGTGGGTTCCCAAGCGTACAATGGCTCTACACGAGAACTTTTGCCGGAGGAACAACATCCCGTGCCCTTACTGCTCTGCCGTCTTCAAAAAAGACTCAAACGAGTGGCATTCGCACTGGCATTGCGAACACGACTCGGCCAAGGGCAACTCGGCTGCCAGCAAATCAAAGCACGACATGATATTCCACCAACACCACCCCTGTCAGGATTGTGAGTTTACAACAAACTCACTAGCGGATCTAGCCAGGCATCGAACTTCGGTATGCCCCGGGAAGCTCATCCTATGTCGGTTCTGCCACCTCGAAGTTCCGCAAGAGGGCGACCCCTTCAACCCTTCACCAGAAGTTGTCTTATCCGGTCTCACGGCCCACGAACTCGCTGATGGTGCCCGTACCACTGAGTGCCATTTGTGCGACAAGATTGTGCGACTCCGCGACATGGAAACGCACATGAAGCATCACGAGCTCGACAAGGTGAGCCGAGCAAAGCCAGAGATATGCCGCAACGTAAACTGCGGCCGAACACTGCACGGGGTAGGACCAAGAGGACAAATCGGTGCCGGGACGTCACAAGGTCAAGGTCCCGGGAACGACATTGGGCTCTGTTCCCTCTGTTTTGGTCCCTTGTACGTGAGCATGCACGACCCAGAGGGCAAGGCTCTGAGACGGAGAATAGAGAGGAAGTACCTGGGACAGATGATGACTGGTTGTGGCAAGTCGCACTGCGCAAACGAGTGGTGCAGGACTGGCCGAAAGAATACCAACGCAGAAGCAAAGGGTTCTTCGGCGTCAGCTGTGTTGCCCTTGGTGAAGCCCCTGTTGGCAATGGTTGGAACCCCAGATGGGCACATGTACTTTTGTGTGGATGAGACGAACCAGAAGAGACGCAAGATTGCGGAAATGTTGGCAGCGGAGAAGCTTTGGGATCTGGAGTGGTGCGTGGCTGCGGCGGAGGCAGAGAAGGGGAATATCGATCGGATGAGGGACTGGTTGCAGGCTTGGGCGCCGAGGAGCTGATGTGGTTCGTGGTGACGACTCATGAGATGGAGTTTTATATAGACCGGTGCATTGTTCAATGAGTGCGTGTGGAGGTATTTAGCGATCTTTTGGTGGCTGCACATGATTTTGGTTTTAGATGAATACGGATGTATTTTGGCTCCTCGAGGATAGGCTATGGATAGGAGAATTGGGTCAAATATATGAGTGGAAAATGTTGGAGGCAGTGGGCAGTTTAGGAGTAGTATATTCCAACAATGACACGGGCTATAGCTTGCTATGGTCTAAATATCGGCGGCAATAAAATGAAACAAAGGGGAAATAGAGGTTTCTGTTGCGTTTGTATTATTTTGCTGTAGGCGGAGCTATTCACGGGGTTTGACACGGATTGCCTCAGTCTGGTCAGTGAACGATGGTCAAGTCCAAAACGCAGTAGTATTGCCTACAACGGCACTGTACCTACCCTATCTGTAAGTGTGCAGGACAACCCACTAGCCACGCGGCAGTACACACATAAGCTTCACCAAGATGACGGATAATGGCTTGGCAAATGGCTTGGCAACCCTCCGTGGATCTGTATGGCCCTTGTCGCAGATCAGGCTAGGCACATCAACGCTTGCAGTACCAGACTAGTACCTGTCAACAAGCCTTGCGCATACAGGTTCGTCTTGAATTACATTCAATGTTGACAAAAGTCGTTGATCACTCCTCAAGTACCAGCTGCCAAGTACTAGGTACTCAAGTACTGAAGTACCTGAAGTACCAGACACTAAGTACTTAAGCACTTAAGTACAGATAGCTGTGAGGAGCAAGGCCGCTCCCACCTAGCACTACGCCTCGCTATTCAAGCCTGCGTGTGATCTTGTTTGAGATTGTACGACGTGTGAGGATACGGTAGCCATCGTGTTACATTTTTCTGCCTTCTTTTAAAATCAAGAAACAGCCTTGTATAGCGTCTTTTTCTAATACGGCGTACGGAGTACTGTAAGAAAGTTTTACAATCTCCCCGGTACCAGCCATTGACACCGAAGATGAGATGGGCAAGGCCGCCGATCGCTACTTCCCCCTGTCCCTCGTCGCTAATGATGCGATCCAGGATACCCGGCGTGGGAAACATATCAATGATGACTAGTAGTCCGTGCTCGGTTCTTTCCTCAATACACTGTTTTTCCCTCTTCGAATTCATTTCGCAATACTAGTACCGCCGTGTCAAGCACCTGCAGAATGTTTGACAACACATGAGCAGGTGAAGTGTCGTATAACTTTTCTCCGTGGCAACTCGACTCTTACGGCGAAAAGGTCTCAGGTGAGCTGCCGTCGATGTCAGCCTGCATTGCAGCCTCTTCTGATGCTATTGGTATTCATTCTGCGAAGGAGTGTCACATGAGACAGCATAACTGGCCTTTGCAACATGTTACACAACACCGCCCCTATATGCCTTTAATAAAGACTCTCAGTCGAGCCTCCTGTCAGACTTGTGCACAAATGCTGCGCATCTCCCACCAAGGACCACGCATTCATTTTGCACGAGAATAAGCGCGAGCCTCTTCTTTTCGTGGAAATGGGGACTCGGGGCGCCATGTTGAATCCCGTTATGAGGCGATTGCTGCTAGGCATTGCGTTGGCGCTTGTATTGCTTTCCTACTTCTTTTTCAAGGAGAGACTAGGGGAGTTTGGCATCACCGCAGCTGATCGACCGTTTCAAGATGCCGTCAAGCCTGACCGTGGCATGCTGTCGGATATAAAGAAGTGGCAAAGGGAGTCGCAGATACGACGAATCGTAGGACTGGTATTCTATGGTAGGCGCAGTCAGGCCTCGATTTTGGACTGTTACCTCAAGGTGAGCCGATACGCGACCTCCTTTTCTTTTCCCCCGGTATCGATCAAATCAAGATCAGTAAAAAGCAGAATTCGCGCAGTCATTGGAAACCGGCGCTAATCATGTGCACAAATAAACAGCGCAACCTTGTTAAGAATGGCGGGATCCTCGACGAGGTTATCTGGCTTCAACGCACCCAGAACCAAGCTGACTTGGCCTTCCTCGACAAGCTTATTCACTCTGAAGCGGGCTACTCACGAGTCGACGTCCAGCATAGTGACGGGAATTATGCGAGCGCATACGATGGAATCGAGGATGACGTTCTATACGTCAAGGTAGACACCGACATTGTACGTGGCTTTTATGAGGCACCACTCAGCGTTCATTATACTCATCAACGTCAAGGTATATATCGAAGACAGCACAATCTTGTCCATGGTGCACCTGCGAGCTACTCGGCCAGACTATTTTGCTGTTGGGGCCAATATTATTAACCAGCCCCTGAGCAGTTGGCTGCATTGGGGCCTGGGCGTTGTACGGCCATACTTGCCAGAAACCGAGGTGTTTTACCCCAAAGATGACGAAAAACAGGGTCACCAGTCCATTGGTTGGCGCGCGTCGCTTCTTCCCAAATGGAACTCCCCCAACGCTTTCAACATGTCTGAATGGTCTCCGCCTGAGGGCCGAAAGCACCGATGGCTGCCAGTTCCTCACGGGGTCGACCACATTCTCGACGGAACGCCTATTACGACAACGACCTATGATGCCTACACGAGCCCTGGCTGGTGGAATTGGATAGTTGGCGCGCAGCAGCACTACAGTTTTTTGGAGCATCTAGAGACAGACCAGCTGTGGCGTTATCGGTTTCACTCCTGGGACTATCGAGACCTTCGAATGGGCATCCAACTCATCGCGATGACCGGCAAGGATATTAATAATGTTAAGCCCATTGCTGCAGATGACGAGGATTTCTTTAGCGTCAAGATGCCCCGGAAACTGGGACGTTGTAAGTAGCCTCGTATGCCTTTTTTTCGGTTCAAGTCGACGGTTGACTAATTGTGTTCTGGTTGAATAGCTGTGGTGGCAGCCGGCGGAGGTGTCGCGGCTCACTATAGCTTCGGCGCCCAAAAAGACGGCATGGCCAAGACGGATATTTTGGACAGGTATCGCTCGTACGCTCAGGAAAAGATATGTAAAGGACCGATATTATGGTCGTCAGAGGCGGACGATCCAGCTAAATAGCCATGCTCGTTGTCATGGCTACTAATTGTGACATTGAACGAATGCCTGAGCGGTTGTATTGTATCTAGAGACTTTAGATTTGGGATAATTGGGTCGCGATTCATAGACGAAACCTGAGTCTTGTGCGTAACAGAGCTGTGACGTTGACCAGCCCAATCTGTTGCCGCCAACCTTGTCTCGCCAGATGGTTGAGAGCCACTTGAAGCTTTCATACAACTTGTCTCAATCTGAGATGTGTTGTCCTGGCTACCTGAGAGCATCTGCCAAAAAAAAAAAAAAGCAAAAAGCAAAACCCGTACTGACTGGTCCCGGCATCTCTACGGAGTAGACTGCACAATATTGGCATTATTAGCCATCACACTTTGAACAACACACCAATTTGTCCCTGTAGCGGCACTTGGTAGTACACTGAAGCGTGCTGTCGTAAGAATCGCCCTGGCGCGCAAAAGGTGTCAAGTATGCAATAAGGTAAAAGTAAGGTAAAAGCCACGCTGGAAGTCTCGAGCACTCCGTAGTGCTCGAGTATGCGCCCCGGCACATACGCAGGTTATCCCTGGCCGTATGCGGGCGGATTCTGAACAGAGTTCGGATGGACCGGATGGCTCATTTAGGAGTGGCCCCCTTCATTTGGATGCCAGACGCGCGGATTTGAGGAAGTCGCAACATGCGAGATGAACGGCCAGGTACTTGAGTAGGGAGCACATGGATAATGGCATATGCATGAAATCGTGGCCGTCATATCGCCAACTGCTATATTTGTCGACGGGACCCAATTCTGGCATGGACTGCTGGTGGACCAAGCTTCCGGTATGCTGTGATTCGTGGCTCGTCGACTGGGCGCAGGCGGGTCGTATGGAATTGTTCTTGATTCGGATAGATGATGGCGTTGAGCTGACGAAGCCATCGATTGATGACCTCGGTGGAGCCGCAGCAGCTTCCTTGCCGCTGGCTTGGAGACTTGGGGACTTGGGGACTTGGCTCTATCTTGGCTCCGTCGGCCGGCGCCGGGCTCAAGATGAGATTCTGCGGTACGGAGTACTACTAGTATTGTTATTGGACTTGACTGTTGCGTTACGAGGTTCGCTGTAGTTACATACTAAGTAGTATTGCCGGTATGAGGCGGGGGGCAGGTACTAGGCTTCCTGTGGCACAGACGTTTTCCGTTTCCATCCTTGAGCAAGTCAACGTCCGGTCTGGTGGCTGATGATCTAGCAGGGCTTCAGGATGCACATGTCCATGGGGTACATGACCTGGCAAATCGGAACAAAGTCTACTAGACCAGACCAGACTTTTGCTGCACCAGCCAAGTTGACACTTGCACACCGTGTGCAGTGTGGATTGAACAAGCTGATAACGTCTGCAGCTATTCCGTCGCCATTCACCAACCAAGTCTATCAAATACGCCTTTGACGAGGGTCATCTCGTGCTACCCAGCGCCCAGGTGCGCATGCAAGCATGGAGTGCCAGGTCGTATATTGTTGACGCATGTGCTCCCGCCAGTTGGCCTCCACTGCGGGTACCTCGCCCGACATTTGGACTTGGGTACTATGTCTAAGAAGTACTGAAGTACGGTAGGTACTTTACCTACTAGCTTACCAGCTTGAGACTTTATAGAGCCCGGTACTCCGTACTTAAGTACTTAAACTTAGTATGATTCCGTGGGCACAAAGAACATTAAAGGCGGTCGGACCACACATAGTCAAAGAGAGTGCCCTCCAATTGATGGATGCATCTGAAATACGAAACGGCTTCGGCGTTGCCCATTGTCTGCAAAACTTAGAATCAAGACCGACCGGAGGAACTAACCCCATCGTCCAAGTCCGTGCCAACATCGGGAGCACTTAAGCGCTGGATAGCATTACATTGGAGTACCAAATTGGAGTGGAGCCGGTCCAACGCCGCGGGCTGCTATCAGGCGAGTTGAGAGACTGCATGTGAGTTCAAAGGTTTACATCAGGCA